CCTAGCATTTCTGGCTATCTGTCTTTAGAGTGTAACATTTATCCAGTGAATTACAGTACATTTTAACAATTGTGCCAGTTTAAAGTGAAATGATATACCCAAACAGAATATATTATTTTTCAAAGTCAGTCAGAAAGTCAGATCAACTGTTTGTTGGAATGTACTTATAATCTTCTGGGGGTACAGCTATGTTGAAGTTCAACTGAATGTGCCTTGGGAAACACCTTGACCTTTATAGAGCCCTGTGAAAAATGCTGTAGAGTTCAGGGAGCTACAGGCACAGGGGGCTGCAAGTACCCTCAGGTACCCTCAGTGGAGAATGACTTTGCCTGGTTGGGCAGGTGACAGACAGTGCCCACATTGCCTTTCCATGCACACCACCTGTGGAGGAGACTCCCTGCAGGCATGAAGCGCTCCACAATAGGCTGGGGTGATGAAGCAGGTGAACCACTCATTCTCAAGGAGCACTGTGTGTCCTTTGTCTACGGTGTCCTGCTCTGGCCTCGGGGTATGAGATGAAGAGTGTGTGAGTCAAAACTATCACATCTTTAAAACAAAAGGCCTTGGAGAGACTGTGGGACCAGCTTTCTGCTAAGAGGCTTTAATTTTTAATGTTTTACAACACAGAAAAATCACAGCAGGTCATGGTGCAATCAGTTTTATGATTAAAAATACCTCAGACAGCAGATACAGTATATAGAAAAAAATGATAAGACACAGCATGTAAAATACGTATTTGTGGTTTAATATGTGCCAAGAGCAAGTAGCTGGTAGACCATCTAACTCACAATAGTTCCAAATAGTTCACTGCATGAATACCGATTATAATTGGTACGCATTACTGTACTACTGTGAGTGAAAACAGTTTAACACGGTTAAAACGTATTCAAGTTCCAATCTATTTGAGGGAGCGATATCCTGACAGGGGGTACGAGGCGGAGAGAAAAGCCCCTGTCTTCACGGGGGAGGAACCAGAGAGCTGTTGCAAGGGTATAGACTGTGGAGGGAGGGCTGTAAACAAAGAACATGGAAAAGGGGCGTTTAGTGACAAGACGTTTACAGTATGTGTAATAGAACGGAATCTGCAAAAATAACAACTTGGCTTCCCCCCGAACTCGTGTTAAAGAACAAAATCATGTTTCATCCTCACCTTATCTCATCTGTCATCGTATGCGATTTCTTTTTAGAGATGCAAGATTATATTTGTATATATTCGATAATATAACTCGATAAATTGCATTTTTCCAAGTGCTGATTAATTACTTTCAGCGGACACAAAGCTAGAGCTCCATCTGCTGGTTAAAGTCTAAACTTACGGATGTGAGAACATACTTTTTTATTTAAAACGCCACGCCAGTATTTACCTCCGAAGCTACTCGTGTATGTAGCTGTTCCTGTACGTTGAATTTTTAATTATTTTATGAGAAACAGTTTTAAAAAACACTGATTCTCACTAGTCTGTGAAACTGATTTTTTTAAGGCGGGGTGGTTTAAACCACACACAATCGTAACTGCAGGACCTTTCCTGCTTACCATGACCTTAGAAGTCTGGTGTCTTAAAACATATATTAAACAGGTTCACATAGGAGAGTAACAGAAGGCTGGTATCTCTCCTTTCCAGCAGCTGGCCCCTTTCAGTAACTACCTGTAATGTAAAGGTACTGGTCATCTCAGGTTCTGCTATAAATATTTACAGCTCTGTAACGGAGCATCTGGATCTGAGGTGTCAGTGACCACTAGTGGGCAGCTGCTGTAGGAATAGTCTCCAGCTTGCTGTAAAAAGGTTTGATGCAATTGAAAATGTATATTTGTTCCATTTAGTTCTTAATATTTTGATTCAGGTCTGCTGAAAAACAGAAAAGAAGAAGCAAGGAGAATTTGGCCTTAACTCATGAATGAGCTACTCCTGTCATATTGGTTATGGGTGCTTTTCAGTTAACTGAGTTGCTCATCACTATCTAACTACTCAATATAAAGCCAGTGACTTTTTATCTTTTGATACTATGATCTCTGTAGATACTGCTACATAAGACTCCTGATATGAAGTTCTTAATCTCCTACTGTAATCAAGTATCACTTGTTTTCGTTGCGGCTAGTATAAAAACAAATCAGCCTTTTTTGGAATTACAGTAATATTGAAATACAGTACAAGGATTCTGCCTCACTGATCGGAGTGTGGTAGAATCCTTTTAGAAACACAAGAAGTAAATGAGAAAATTAATCAGAAAGCAGGGCAAAGTGGATTAGAATAAAATGCAGTGTAGTTATTAAAACCATTGCCCAAAGTCCCAGTCTAGGCTCTAATAAGATTCAAGATGAATATGTCCTAACCCATAATCAATATAAAAAGAGGCAGAATTATGGTATTCTACTTGATCGAGGCTCCTTTGGAGAAACTGGAATCATGTGTTAGGAAGTGGCTGATATGACTGAATGGGGGGAATTGGGCAAAAGGGCTATACTGGTCTTTCTGCTAACAAACGTGAAGTTCAAATACACTAGTGCATTTTGTTGCCACTTAGACTCATAGTTGCTGCTTGAGTGCGAGTCATGAAGTTTTATCCAAGGGAAAACAAACCAGTTAAAGGATTTAATTGTTTAGTGACTTGGAAGATACTCACACTCCTTAAAGTGCTATGTCAAAATGTCTTGAATCCTTATGGCCTGAAAATATTAAATATCTATGGTACCTGAAAATCTATCTTGCTATCATTGTGAATAGTTTGCTCAAACCTTGCATTTCTTGTATAGGGGTATTAAATATGCAGATGTTCAGGTGGGTAGCTGTGTCAGCATGCGTAGGCTACAAAGGAACAAGTAATAGGTTTATTCCATGCTGAAAAAAAGAAGAAAGAAAACACAACGTTTCCGCCATGGAGCCTTCTTCGGGTGTGTTCTTCTCCACGGCCGAAACGTTGTGTTTCTTTCTTCTTTTTTTCAGCATGGAATAAACCTATTACTTGTTCCTTAAATATGCAGATTTCCATTTGTGGAGTACAATGTGCTTAAATTATTTTAGAATGAAGAAAATGTGTTTTGTCCAGAGCGTTAGCAGAATCTTTCTGATCAGTTTCCTTAGCACTGTTGGGTTCAATCCTGCCTGTTGTTTCTCAAGTTAAACCATGTCCATTGCTCCTTGTAAAACCTGCAGTAAGTCACAAGACACATGAAACAGTTTCAGATCACCCATGATCATTGTTGAATATGAGTTGCCAGGTGAGTTCAAATCTGCCTGCCAGGAAATGACTGTCATTTTCTCAATTCTAGACAGTAAAACTCAAAGCTGCTCTGAGGCTACAGGCTTCAGATGAACATCACTTTATATTGGAAAAAGTGACAAGCAAACTATGCTGTTTTTATTTCCTCCATTCTATACAATCTAATTTTTATAATACAAGTGGGCAGTACATGCTGTTAAAGAACTTGTTGTTTAAGATGTTCCTTTAATTTAAAGAACAAGCCTTTAAAGAATAATATCTGTAATTAGAAGTATGAGTGAACTCAGAAATAATGATAAAATTGATTACTTGGTTCCTGACTTGTTCGGTGATTTTCCTTTTCCGTTAATCTGCTTTGGTGATGCTGGAGGCCCACTGGGATGTACTGTAAGTCAATGAGAAATGGCACGGGAGGTCCAAGGTGTGGTAAGTTTAATACCACAATGTTCTTTGACAAGAATCCTTTTTTATTTTACTTACAGTACGTCTCTGCAGTGTAATTGAACACGACACGTTTCGTTTACGAAAGCAGGACTGCATTCGATTGAACTGAAGCCATGACCAAATGCTCTCACAATTGATTTGCTAGAAATGAACATGGCTTTCAGTCCTCTGTAATTTTCAATGAATTAAGAAAACAAACTCTTCTGATTACTTGATTGAAAGTGTTCTGAAACATTGACAACTGTCCCAGGTGCTAGCAGAACAGCCAAGAATGGGGGGAAGAAGTATTGAATAGAGTTTAAAGAGAAAAACAAAAGTAAATCTCAGAATAAATCATCAGAATTCTAACTTCCTACTAACTAATCACACTAAACGATGATGAATTTGCCTTTTTGATCAAAACCAAATAAGAATGGATCACTTTATTTTAACGAAAGTAAAGAGCAGACACCATAAAATAATGTTTGAACCATTTTTGGTTTCATGGTGGGTCAAAAACTTTAAAATAATTCATTAAGAAATAATTGAGGTTTTAATAGCAAAACTAATGGTTAAGGCATTTATTCTATGGAAAATTAAAAATGAGAAGTGATTTTGTTGTGTACTTAATTAGGTTTTCTTAATCCACCACATTTCAAGTAGTCAGGTCAAAACACAATAAAACACTATTCACTAAATTCTGTTCTCCATTCTTTGTTCTGATGGTGATGGATTCCCTGCTGCTGCATGTATTAACATAATAAAAGGTCCTGTTTCTTTTTATAGAGAACTCCTCCTGCTCCTTAATTTATCCTTTCTTACACTTAGGTGAAATATCATGGACAGAAGTTTGCTCCTTGCCTTGAACCGGCCTGGTGTTGACTTAAATCCCCTCAAACAAGGTGAAAATCTGTAGAAATACTTCTTGTAATGTTTACTACTTCCAACTTGGCAAAAACAATGTTACAAGTTTCCCAACATTTAGTAATATCATTCTGTATCCTACAAATAAACATATTAATAATTAAAATACCTTTGTGAAACATTAGTACAAATTCAATTAAAATTGAACACTCTATTCTGAATTCCCACTCATTGGTCTAGTTCAGACTTAGAGTGAACATATTTGCTCAAGAGTATTTCACAGTGTCAAGTACTAGAAGTCCTATCTCTTAACCTTTTAGTAAAAATGAATCTGTTTTTTCCTAAACTATCCCTAAGGGCAGCAATACTAATTTAAGGGAAGTTCTTTCAAAGTTGTGCTGTGTGGATCACGTGATCAGCACATCTAGCCAATGGAAACACGGAGCTCAGATTTCAGTCTGGAAGAGTGTCTGAGCTGTGACAGGATTGTAAATCGGAGCAGCCAACTAAGAACTCTGAGCACAGTGTTTCACAGAATTTTGGTGTTCACTATCTGCTGGATGCCATCTCTTTTGTAAAATTTGCTTTGCTTTAGTGGGATGGACACTGGGGTGTTTGTTTCTTAGTCTAACATTAATGACCCAACAGCTTCATCTCTTTCTGCAGACTCTTCCTGAAAGAATGGGGGCAGGAGCACTAGCTATTTGTGTAAGTAGAAAGAGCCGGCTTTCTTTTTCATACATGTGGACTGTTCTGTTTTCTCCTTTTTCACTCCTTATGTGCTGTGTGGAAAATGACACATTAGTCTTTTTTTAGTCAGTTTTTTCTACTAAGCACAGGAAGCATTTAAATCTACTGTCCATCCATGTCTGTAGCTACCACTGAGGACAAGGCCTGTTTCTATAAATTGTTTTAAACTAATGAAAACAGTTATGCTTCAACAGATACCAGGCAGAAAATATACAAACACCATTTCACTGGTGTACCATTATAAGATCATGATTTATAATTAAGTAGAGGAAGAAATCTTCCAAACTTCTTACCACAGTCTTTTGTACTAGAAAAACTTGCAATACCATGAGACATTGTCAATAGTAAGTTTTGAAAAGTAAGTTGGTATTAGTCTTAAAAAAACGTTGAAAATCATACTATTGTTTTTATAAAAAATATTTATATTATTCTTATTCTTCTAATGTCTGTCTTTCTGTTTTGCTCTGACATCACATTTGAACTTTGCTTTGTGATTTCAACATACAAGAATGAAATTTAGAATTGTTTCACTGAATTTAGCAATTAACCACTTAAACTAGTTATATTTGAATGAAGTTGAAATTTGAGTCATGTGAACAAATTAGAAATGTGCAAAGTAAAAACAGACTACTAAGAATTCTTTGTATAAGAAATGTTCATTCTTTTAAGTTCCAGTAAGACTTTTATTTACTTTGTCGGCATTGAAATACAGTACATTTGCTGTGGCATTTGTTTTTAGCATTTGTGATTCAAAGGATTTTGGTCTGAAATGTTTCTTCCAGTAAAGCTGGTGGAGTACATTTTGACTGGGTTCAGTTGCACATGCAAATGCCAGAGCAGCTGTTGATGTTAATGCACTTCCTGTAGGTCCTGCCAGTTGTCATTTGGGCCACATACTGAGAGTGAGATGCATGCTGGAACTTGTTAAGGTTGAAGCCTGGGAAGAACTAAAAAGGAAATAAATAACTATTGTAATTGTTTTAAAGGTACAGTACGTGTCTATGTTTTGAAACACAGATCTTTTCAGTCTCACAGGGAGTTCACCTTTCAGTAAAAATAAATCTGTTTAAAATTTTTAAAACTCCAATTCTCTGATGCAACTAATTGTGCATCTTCTCTGAAAGAAATGTAGTTTTCCAATGACTGGATTTTAGTTATCTTTAGTGCAAGCAGGAGATAGCACAATTATAAATGTCATAAGTATAAATTAACAGGTAAAGGTTATTTCCATGTTGAAAGGAAAAGAAAAGAGACACAATGTTGTGGCTGTGGACCCTTCTTCAGGTGTGTGAATAAATCAGGTGTGTCATAAACAGAATACACGCCAAGCTTGTCTGAAGAGAGAAGTATTACAACTTCCTAGTCTGATCTTGTCAGATCCCAGAAGATAAGCAAGTCAGTGCTGGGAATTGAGGTCCAGTAGTGTGAGCAGGTGGTACTCTCCCATCTGGAACAGAATTCCTCAATTTGTTGAGCAGACATTCTGAATTGTAGGAGACATCAAACCAAAGTATTGATTACTTGGTCAATGAAGAGTTTGTGGCTCATTTGTAACAGTATGAGTGTTAACGACAGTTTCCTGGCTAAATTACTCTTTGGGTTTGCACAATTGGAACTACCTGAATTTCCTCCCTAAGTCAATTGATGAAGTAATTTCTCACTACAGTACCAGATCTGCCGTGTAGTGTGGATGCTGCCCATCACCCAGGTGAATACCACACCTTGAAGGGGGATGACATGAGTCCTTTCTTATAGGTAGAGCTGTGGGATCCTTTGGGATGCAAAGGGCTATATCAATTCAAATAAGTATCAGTTCTTGGATAATATTATCTCTCAATGGACACCCAAGTAAATTAATGGACAAAGGAGCTCTTTGAATAGTAGGGTATAGTATTCTCCTAAGACTGTTTGAAAGACAGTTTTCAAAAGCTTGTACATACAGTACATACTGGAGTCCAGATAAAGATTTTAAATGCTGGAACTGCTAAAAATGTCATCGCAAAGTTGTGGAGGAGGTCAGAGCAGTTTTATACATATGCCTGTAGGCAAAAATTAATATGTAAACACTTTACAATAAAATATCCCATTGTGTAGAGAGGAACCAAATCAGAACAGGTTTCCTACAGTATAAGCTCTTTATTGCAAAGCTCAAGACCGTCTGTACATGTGTGGAGGAGGGGACTGCTGAGGGGACATATGTTCAGCCAAACATATCGAAGGAAGGGCAGCTCAGACTGCCTGATCTTCTTGAGCACCTTCTACAAAGTAGTACAACTAAATAAGGTCTGTAAGAAAAAAATGTGTAAAACACTACACAGTGTGTGGGGCAACCTGAGGCTTTTCAATTTGTTCATATCATATTTCTTAAGCTGGTTTTGTGACATACAGTATTTGATGGTTCTAAAATGAATTTTTGCACATGGTGTACACACACAATACGTGTACCATTTGCCACGTTTCATGACATACATATTGATTTAAGGAAAATAAAATGATCAGAGCAACTAATGATGAAAGTTTATACATTACTACATGATAAAGAAATTGGCTTTGACTTTAACTGTAACATCTTTGGCTGAATGCCTGAGTGAACATTATTGTTTGTGATATTTAGAATAACTGTATCACTGTATGTACACAGCAGCTCCTGGTGACAGCATTTGCTTCAGTTATTGTAATGCAATCTGTTAACAGGGACACTGTACTGTAGTAAAGTAGTTGCCATATGTCCATAGTGGCAGTATACATTTCATTCTTGATTAAACTGTCACCCATAGACTCTTATTTTGAAAAAAGACTATCATGTGTGTTTAGATACAGTATGTACTGTATTATAAATAATGTATTATATAATTTATATTTTGGATTATTTGTATTTAAATATTATGTTAAATGTTTCTAGGAAAAGCATTATTTTACAATAAAAAAACATACTGGGGTATAATGGAGAATATACTGTATGACTAACCCAGGTGTAGGTCAGTACCTTCCTGTTTGGTTAGCATGGTTTATATTTGAAATTCAAAAGGCAGTTTTACATTCTGTTGCACACATTTTTGAGACAAGAAAATACAGATACTAGGAAGCTGTGTGATTTGTTTATGCTTAATAAAGGACAACACTGCTACATTAGTACAAATGAAGGCAATCTCTCAGTCAGAAGATGACACATTCTCAAACATACAGTTGTGTGCGTCGAAGGCTTTTTGAATCTGAAAATGGGGTGTGCTTGAAGAGTGCAGCTTCTAACACTTGCTAGAAGAAGATTCAGCAGATGTATGAACCTAAAGGACCGGGATTGGGAAATCCTGATTTACAGTACTGCACAGGCAAGCAAACTGACCCCGTGTTTAAGTAACACATCAAAGGACAGGGTACCCCACAACTGAGCCAACCACCCCTCCCAGATGCACTGAAAGAGGCACTAGACATGCCCATGGTCAAAGTATTTTCCTTTCACCTTTAGACCACTTTCAGTGCAGTGGCTTTAGTGACACCAAAAAGTTTGAACTTAAGATGTTTGGAAATCTGAATGCAAATGAATACGTTGGTCTGGGACCTGTAATAAAGCTGCATGATGTTGTTTTGAAAGTGGAACTTTCACTTGTTAATTTTACTTGTTGTTGTCAAAGATAAACTTCAAATGCTAAGTTGAAGGTTTTGTGCATCTATTAGTCTATTGTCTGTTGTGTGATGTATTTTAATAAATTAAATATGGACACTGTTTCTCAAACTTGAAAAGTTTAAGGTTTAAAAGAGCAGCATAGTGTAGTGGGTAAACTGTTGGACTGATAACTGACTGATGGTGGGTTCATGTCTCTACTTTAGACACTGCTGTTTACCCTTCAGTGAGGTACTTTATCCTGCCTGCTCCAGTTCACCCAGTTGTATAAATAAGGACCAGCACTGTTTGGGGGTATTCTCTGCAAAGGACTGGTATCCTATCCAGGGGAGGAATCATAAACTCTGTAGTCTGTTTAATGCTACTGAAACCAGGATGGGCTGTAGTATGGACTTTGCCTTCATACTGTTAGAGAGGAAAAGGCCTACTTACAGTGCCTTGCGAAAGTATTCGGCCCCCTTGAACTTTTCAACCTTTTGCCACATTTCAGGCTTCAAACATAAAGATATACATTTTTTATTTTATGTGAAGAATCACCAACAAGTGGGACACAATTGTGAAGTGGAACGAAATCTATTGGATTTTTGAAACTTTTTTAACT